GCCCCCGGATTGCGGCGCGCGTCGACTTTGCGAGGGGGGGGGGGGGAGGGGGGGGTTGTGAGTTACAGTAGTAGCTATCGCGAGGACAATAACTTGTTTTTAGTAGGGGGTACCGGGGTGGCGTAGAGGGTTAGGTTTACGAATACGAAACCCCCCTCTCTATATCATAGATTAATAATAATTAAATCCTCGCGAAGGCGGTCCGTGCCATACGAGGCACCACACCACACCAGGGGATCATGTCGGACGGTAAATGAAAGCTGGGTCCTACTAGGTCCGGCATAATGCGGTCGAGTCAAATCAAGCCTCCCACCGTCGACGCCATCAGCTACTCTTCCCACGACAATTGGCCGAGAAATATCGACCTACCGCTTGTTCTGCTGCTGCTGTGATACCAGGGGTGAGCCAGGGAAAAGTAAAATTGGGTTGAGTGGAGTCGTGCGGAAGGATACTTGAGAGCAACGTCATAGAGCGGGGCTTGTGTCCGGTCCGGCATAGGCGGGCGCTTGCCCCTCTGCATGAAAAGTTACCTACACATATGATGTACCCACGTGTTATGTAGGAGCGATTACAAAACAACAACGAAAAAATGCTCGGGGAATAGTAGAAAGAAACACACGTAAACACACGTATTGTGGCGTCCTCTAATGCTATGAATGCATAACCTACCCGAACTCTTTATCTGTGGAGGGAGGTGAATTAATTAGTTGTGCTTTGGAAAAAAAAAAATGGCACGCCCCTCATACCTGGTTCTTTTCAGAGGATGGATGCACCTCCCAGAGGACATACTCTGCGTAGCCCCCCCGGATCGTGCCTCTTGAGTTGAGAGAGGCGAGTTCGTCGGGGTACTCAAGAAACTACGAGTGATGGATCATCATGAACGCGACGGGATGGCAAAAAAAATGTATCTTGTATCTACTGGAAGTTGTACACTTCGTGTGTTTGCAAGCGAGTAAGCTTTACTCGAAATTTCGACCCCACGGGGGATAGCAGTATCTACCACGCGAAATGGATCTAACGCAATCCTGCTGGCTGCTGCCTCACCGACAATGGCGTATACGGCGGGGAAGGTGGCCAGGTCAGGCGATCGCGCCCGGACCTTGAGGTCGTCCGCGCTATGATGGTGGTGGTGCAATTTGTTGCGGGTAAAGAAGCAAACATCGTACAAGGGGCGCGCGCGGTGGGGGGGGGTACACGTTGAGGAGGGAGGGGGGGAGGGATGGGACTAGAGAGGGGGAGAGAGGCGGTACACGAGGGAATGAAGGAGTGGTCGCACACCTTGCTGTCACTATTAAATACATCGTTGTGCGCAGTCACCTTCGCCTGAGGTACATGTTGATGATGTCGTCCTACAGCAGTTCCTACTCAAATCTTGGTGTATACCGTCGGCGCTGTCGTGACGATTCTCTTGTCAGCCGCAACAAAATGATTCTAGGCGGGCTTTACTGCTTCCATATTGCAGATACGCGCGCATGTATCTTATCCATATAAGGCACGTGTCTCGTTGCCTTCGGGGGGAAAGGAAGAGAGCCGGCGCACACGGATACCTCACGACAAATGCTGTTTTTGCGCCTGCTTACGCCTCGAGACCGGGAGCACGTCAACAATAGCACACAAGAGCAGCAGCAGCAGCAGGGGTGATGGCGAACAGCGCGATTTTTTTTTCTCTTTGGTTGCAGAAGTCCCTGCACGCTTGCGTACGTTTCGGATGTGTCTCCCTTTGATGTGGGTTGGAACCCACGCCCTCCCGCGGTAGCCTTGTACAGGCAGTGGTGATGTGTTGGGCAGAAAAAACACCCTTGACACCCAAAATCAATTTTTCGACCACTTGCTGTACTTCCATCTCGAACGGGAAGCCTTTCCGTGTATGAATGGTCTAATAACTTCTCTTCCAGTTACTGAGCCATGATTGGACCAAAATGAGACCGGATGTATGTTGGAACCGTAGCTCCTGCGCACACAGGATTTGTCACACACGGTGGCCGACCCAACCGAACCCAACCATACCTCTAAATCTAACCCACAAGGCCAACGGAAGGCCTGGCGACCGCGTTCTCGGAATGCGGAGCAGAGAGAGGGCGCTGGAGAGAAATTGATTGCTCAAACCGACCAATGAGAGGGCGCAATAGCCCGCAGATAGATGGGAAGAGTCACTGAAAATGGCAGACCGTAAACACTGCCCAACGCGGGGCAGCGCACACGCCGCGGCTTTCCGCTGAAAATATCAAAAATATCAACAGACAGATGATCAATTTTCTCACCTTTGCATACGTGTATGTAAGTAAGGGTCGCGGGTTGTACTGGGAGGTGCGCGGAGGGCGGCGTCACGCGAAAGTACTACTGGTACATACTATCGAAACTCAGAATATACGCGGTAGGGGGCAAGCAACCAAACAACCAACGCACACACGCCGGCTTTGCGCCCCCGGAAAAAAATCAAAATTTGGTCATCGTATGAAGTGTGTGTTCAACGCGGCTGCTGCGGTGAACTCATCGCTCAACTATCCCGGATTTTCGGTTGCTGTCGTTGCTGTGTTCGGTGTGTGTTTTCGTCCTATTTATTATGGCGACAGCAGTAGTTCCCCCTATCTTCGTGGTGAGACGTCGGTGGAAGAAATTCGTAAATTACTTCATTTGACCTTTTTTTGTACACACAAGAAAGACAATTAAGGAAAAATAAATTCACGCACAGAAAGACTACCCATTCGAGATATATACCCACAGCAGTCGAACGGGATGTGGTGGAGTCTTTTCAATGAACTCATGGTCTTGCTTCGTTCTTTCAGACTTCAGACACACGCCGGAAATAAGTCGCAGAATGGCGACGGGTGAATGCAGACTAAGGAAAGGGGCAGCGCGCGCATTAGTTGAGACCCAGGATTTTGCGAGGTTGCCAACTGCAAGCCACAGGAGGAGGTAAACGCTCTTGATCTCGGTTCGTGAGACGGTGCAAATGCATGTCATCTTCCCCTCGTGCGAAAGAGATGAACAGATGCCACAAGTAAAAAGAAAAAAGTCGCAACAAGGGCTGGCCATTGTACACAGACTGATTTGGCTGCTTTGTTTGGTGGGACGTGACAGGAAAGCCCACGCATTGCCTATTGTTCGATCCGGTTAGGGCTGCAAGGATCGCTACCAACTGCGCGAACATGAGCAACCCACCCCCTGCCCTGTGGATCGATCGCTCAAGAAAGCTGTGGGCAAAACAATGAATCCGGCGTAGGAACTATTATAATAGGAACATTCGACGACCAGATAAACAGAAAAAAAAAAAACATGAAAAAAAAAAGGGCCGGCACATACACCGCGTTCCATATTATTTTGGCATGTCTTCCGGTATGTATGACGTGCTCTGTCCTCCACATCGACTCCAACGGCGTGTGGTCTCAAGGATACTGCTGCTGCTGTGCGAGCAGCCTGCAGCACTCGCTTGTTGAGCCAAAGAGGTCTTTCTTGGCTTCTCTTGCATCCGCCCGACACATTGCCGACAACAACAAAAAGGCCCGGAATTCTCGGAAGTTTCAAGGACACACTGCTGCCTTGTTGCTGAGTGCGGTCGCGTGCAGTGGGCAGAGCCGCAGCGGCGGAGGATGTTGCCTACTACCGACATGTCCTGTATCTGGGTGGATGTAAGGCAGTGGTGAAAGCTTGTTTGGTGAATGTGCGGCCGCGCAGTGTAATCGATCATGGATATACATAACACCGACACATGCAAAATACGTACACGTGCGGCGTGCGGGCTAACGTCACAGATAAATGAAATTGAAAGAGCCAGCCTGCTTTGCTGCATTTGAGACGACACTCGGGATATAGACGTCATGCCTCGGAGGAGCAGCAGGGGATTCGCTCTCCCACTCCGTCTCACCACTCACCGAAGACGAAACCGGACCAGCAGAAAGGTGCAGCCGATGCACACCATGGTAAGGTAGCAGGCCAGCAAAGCCGAGCCCAGCAAGCCCGGTAGCTCCATGTATGTCCGCCCTTTACTTAATTAATTTTTCACTCGGTGACCTCTCCGCGCGTCTTTCCTCGCCGTCTCTACGTAATAGCCGTCAGAGCACACAGGCTTCAATCGACGGCTTTCACCGACAGCTCAGGTTATGCATGTATTTAGCACACCCAGCTTGAAAAGTGTGCTGGGTGAATGTGTGATGTGTGAGGGAGGTGCATGTTCCCCCGCCTCTAGGGGCGACGCAGATTCCCTTGTGACCAGTGGGTGGTTTGTTTATCCGGAGTCCCCCCCCGGTTGTTGTTGGTTGTGCTGCCTGTCGCTGTGACTGTCCGAACAACAACAAGGCGGGAGGCAAGGGGGTTCTACTCTGTGTGTGTCACACATTGCAAGGAAGAATGAGCTGGGCAACGCCAGCTGATGACAACCCCTTCGCCGTGAGTGCTTCTTTTGGACCGATGTTTCCACTCCGTTTGTGTGAATTTTCTCCCTCACTGTAAACCGAGCAGGCAGTCGGTCCTCTGTTCTTCGATCCCCTCGATTGACCCTTCGCATCGGACAGTTTACCCAACAGCAGTGGCTCGCTCAACATTCTTCATTCAGCCGCCGCCATTGCTGCATACACAGAAGGCGTTTTTGGTCGTCGCATACCTGTGTCAAAGGCATGTGTACGGGAACTGAACCTCTTTTTTGAACGAATGTCGGCATTCTGAGGCCACACCGATTTAATCGATATTTAGTGTGGCATCGGTCTGCCGTTCGGGCGCATCTCACTGCTGTGTAGAGTACACAGCATCGCGTAAGCTGTGTACTTTCTTTGCTTATGATGCCCGCTAAGTAGCTAAACAGACGGACTTTGTTCATTGAGGGAGAGTGAGGCTTCTACCGCCGAGGTCGTAAACGACCATGCCACAACCTACATCTTTCTCACTTTGGCCTCAGTGGTAACGATCATAAAGCAGAATTTTTCGCAACATGATGCGGGCTGTTGAACGGGCCAACTGCCGCCTGCCTGCTGTGCAGCGGTCCTTGGATCAGTCGGCGTAGCGGGGTTCCGTGACGTGCCATGTATGCATACAGCAGTGGTAGTGTACTAATGTGGGGCTTCAGTCCCGCAATAGTCGCTGGCGGTTGGGTGTGACTTGGTTTTGGCAGGGTTGTCTTGATAGTGTCGGTTGGTGTCGCGTCGTTTCTCTCCGACATCAAGACCAGCTTACCCCTCCTACAGCAGTAGTACTGGAAACCCAAATGGGGACACTTTCGGGACACAACACTCAAATGCCTATGCATATGTACCGCACTGCTGTATTCACCCTAGGCTCCGCTGTGTGCAACGCACGCGATAACCCTTGGTCTATCATGCTTGGCTGAGGTGGTACGCTGTGTGATATGATGCCGTGTGATGCCCCTCCTGGGCGTCTGACTTGCTTCACACACCTCCCAACCCGCGTGCCCCCTAGATCGTAAAACTACAGTGTACCATCGTACTGGAAAAACACGTGTTTTGGGGACACTTTTCATACTGAAGCCAAGTCACCCTTTGTCTGACAAGGAACTCAGATTCTTTGGAGGGACTGCTGTAGCCCCTTCAACCAATGGCTGACCAACATTTGTTGGGCAGTTTCTTTAGCGGAGGGACTGGGTGGTATTAAGGAATAATAAAAACACACACAGAAAGACTGTTTGTGTGTATGCATGTGCGTAACTCTGTTCGTTGGTCAGCCAGTGATGTAGCGCGATTCATGCTCGTAACGCAGACACCTGCGTGGCCCCAAGTTTATACTAGGGTTTAGTGTTGGGGCTCCTATTATACTAGTTTTAGTATTGGAGCGCCCATTGTACTTGGTTTAGTACGGGTGCAGCTATGTAAGAGCGTACACGCCCTTCGTGTCGGTACAAATATAGAACGATGTTTGTTCACGTTTTTTTCCCGCTCAAGACTGAAGTATTTTAATTGGTCAGCCGGTTGGCGCGGTCGATGCTGCCGAAGGAGACGCCCCGGCTACTAAAACAAAAACACAACGTTATATAAGGGAAAAGCGATTCGCGAACCAAAAGAAACAACTTGAAAGTAGAGTGAGGAATTTGCACAGGCAGCTTTTAATGCTGTGTAGTTCCACATAAGCAGTTTTGCCAGGTACAAAAGACTGCTGTGCCTAATATTCTTGTACTTCTGCTGCAGTGAACGTCCTCCGCAGCTTCCCGTTGGAATGTACCTTTCAACAAGAGATCCAACGCCATTCCCCTCGAGCTTCACAACCTGCCCCCACCCATGGCCGCCTAATGCATCACCTTGCGTGTTCATCTGTGTTTCCCTCACTCAGGACCCTTCGGTTTCTGCGGCGCAAGCCGGCGGCGGCGGCAGTGGCGGTGGCGCGGGTCGGGGGTACGACGACTCCGCGCCGTCCTGGTTAGGCGGCGGGGCGGGGGCGGGGGCG